GCATGCTACCAAAAGAATAGGTGACGGAACTGAGTAAGGGTAAGACTAAGAGAAGTAAGTAAGATGAGGGTGGTGTAGATACAGAGAGGGAACCCGTGCCCTCACACTGTGATTGGTCTACTTAAGTTTGTGTGCACTGCCACCAGAGGGGATGAGTCGATGACGACCTTGACTGCGTAAATCCCATTGTTTCCTGTCTCTGCTTATACAGTGCTCCCTCGTACCCAATAACCTGTTTTGTTCTATACACAATGGCTTCCGCTGGACCCTCACCACCCCCGCCCCAAGCCCAAGAAGGTGCGACGTGCCTTAAGCTATGAAGTTAAGTACAAGATCGTTCAGGAGTTAGAAAAAGGCACGAGGCAGGTGGATCTGGCCAGACACTATGGAGTGAATGAATCGACGATCCGCACGATCAAGAAGGATGCCGGCAAGATCAAAGAACACATGAGCATTACAAAGTCTGTAGGTGCCTCGATGAAGAAATATTGCCACAATAAGGTGCTGCTGAAGACTGAGGGTTTATTAGTCAGCTACTTGATTCGTCAGTCAAGCAGGAACACGGCGGTCAACACTCGGGCAGTGCAGGACTACGCGAGAGAACTCTACCAATCCGTGGCAAGAAAAATGGGAGTTGCAGAGCCCTACACTGCTTCCGCTGGGTGGCTGCAAAGTTTCAAACGACGTAATATGATCATGAATATTGAGATAGTCGGTGAAGTAGCAACTGCCGACCGGGCTGCCGCCATGAATTTTCCCTCATTTTTACGGAAAATTATGTAGGAAGGACGGTACACCAACGACCAAGTGTTCAATATGGATGAATCAGGGTTGTTCTGGAAAAAATTGCCTTCCAAGACCTTCGTAGTCAAGCCTGCGAGCAAGTGTCAGGGCCGAAAAATGCAGAAGGAGCGCATCACCACCAATGCCTCCGGCACGTGTAAGCTGAAGTTGTCAGTGATCCATAAAGCCCGCAAGCCGCATGCATAGAAGAATATGGACATGAGCAAGGTAAATGTCCACTGGCTAACCTCAGGGAAGGCATGGATGTTCACTGATCTATCCCTCCCCTGGTTTGACAACTGTTTCGTTCCTGATGTCAAGAAATTCTGCTAGCAAAATAATGTTCCATTCTACATTTTGTTGCTCCTTGACAACGCACCACGACACTCGCCCCTATTGTTGGATCGTCACCCCAACGTAAAAGTGGTCTTCCTTCCCCCCTAACACTACGTCGTTAATCCAGCCCATGAATCAGGAGTTGATTTACAACGTGAAGGCTGCTTTCTCCGCAAAGAAGTTTCGGCTCCTGAACGACTTCACCAACACCAAGGATAAATTGCAGAACCTAGAGAGTGGCACCGATAGTGAGGACGAGGATCACGAACAAGATTTGGCTGACCATGAAGTGCGAGTCAAGCAGTTCTGGAAACTGTTCAACGTGAAGAAAGCTGTTGATTTGTTGGTGGAGGCATGGGGCAGCTATCTGTGGCAACGATTCGTCGCGCGTGGCGGAATGTGTTGGAGGGTATCGCAGGTGGGAGGCAGAGGCAAGCGGTGGCTGGTGAGGCTCAGTCTGTTGCTGTGGCATTGGAGAGTGCAAGAGAGGCTGCACAAAATGTTAGAACTGCAGGCTTCTCCGGGACCACCAACGAGGACATCCTGGAGGTAATCAGGCAACCTGAGGTGACTGCGGACGAGATGTTGGAAGATGATGACGTCAGTGAGCAGCCAGGTGTTACGGCGGAAGAACAAGAGAAGAAACAAACACATGCTGATGTGAAGGAAATCATCGAAGCAATAGAGAGATTGAAACCTCCTTCTTGCCAAAGACCCAGTCAAGCATCGCTACAAAGTGTGTAATAACCTTCAGTTGCAATCCATGGAGCCATATGTTCAGCTGTATCACGACCACATCAATGCTAGCCGCCAACAAAATATTATCGAGTTCTTCACCTGCAACCCACCACAGCCAGCCCAAGTCAGTGATAGTGATAGTGATAGTGAGGATATGGACTTTGAGGGGTTTGACAAGGAGGCCCTGCTAGCCTCTGTGGTGGATAGTGATACAGGTGATACAAGTGATACAGGTGAGGGCCAATAATCTGCCCTCTGCCTCGGAACCAACCCCCCAATCCCCGTGTGCCCAGCCATCTTTTCTACGAACGTAAGTGTTATAAAACCTAATATTATATATATTTCTCTTAAATATTAATTGTGTGTGTATACCATCATAAAATGAAGATGTTAATTTTACTACAAAGTACGTATTGTGTCGGAAAAAAGGTAGTCTGGCGGTCGGCCCAGTCTCTATTTCAATTAATCCCATATGTTCTGTTATTTTGTTTCCACGTTTCGCGTTATACGCGGACCTCCACGGGTTAAATTAGCCGCGTAAACCCAGACTATACTGTATGCAAAAGCCAGAAACCAAGCAAAGGCAGAGTGTAGAACGGCTGAAAAGGGGCTCCAGATGCTGGTTGCAAGCGAGGTCAAGTCAAACCCAAAGGCGTTTTACCGCTATGCAAAGTCGAAATTAAAAACGCGAGTAGGAGTATCAGACCTGAGGCTTGAAGATGGTAGTATTGCAGATTCTGATCAGGATAAAGCTGAGGCATTGAACAGCTTCTTTTCCTCGGTGTTCACAAGACAGGATGCGATTAACCTTCCTGCGTTTGAGGACAGACGGTTCGACACAACACTAAAAGCTAAAAGTCCATAAGAATCCCGGCCCTGACATGGTACATTCCAGGGTGCAAAGACAGTTGTGCAACGAGTTTGCCGAGTCACTGAAGATCCTGTTTTGTAAATGCCTGGATGGACAAAAGGTCCCCAGTGATTGTAAAGTCGCTTATGTGTGTCCTATCTTCAAGAAGGGTTATCATCACTCTACGGACAACTATAGACCGGTGAGCCTGACCAGCATAATATGTAAAGTAATTGAGAGTATTATCAGAGATGCCGCGATGGAACATCTACTACGAAGCAACCTTGTAAAGGATTGCCAACACGGTTTTATGCCAGGGCGCTCCTACTTAACACAATTGCTCAAAGTATTGGATATTTGGACCCATATTCTGGAATGGGGTGGTACTATCGACAATATATACCTGTATTTTGCCAGCGCTTTCTACAGTGTGCCCCACGAAAGGCTGAAAATCAAACTGGAAGGGTATGGAATTCGGGGAAATGTCCTAGCGTGGATAGAAGACTTTCTACATGACCGCAAGCAGTGTGTGGTGATTAATGGCAAGAAATCGTCATCCGTACCTGTCACAAGTGGGATTCCACAGGGCAGTGTTTCATAAATGACATGCCTGACGTTGTACACTCCTCCATACAAATGTTTGCCGATGAAGCCAAGTTATTTCGGGAAATCAAGAACCATGCAGGCTGTAAAGAGCTGCAGAAGGATTTTTTGAGCTCCAAGAATAGTCGAAGAAATGGCTGCTGAGATTTAATGTCACGAAGTGTAAGAGGATGCACCTAGGGCGTACCAACGGTAAGGAGGTGTATCATGTGTCCCAACGGGATGAAGAAACTGCAGTATTTGAGACTGAATCTGAGAAGGACCTAGGTGTGTATGTTGACAGTGAGATGAAGTTCTCAGGCCATTGCGAGAAGAAGGTAAATCAGGCAAATAAATTGTTGGGTCTTATAAGAAGGTCGTTCAGATATCTAGACGGTCCGTTCCTCGTAACGATCTTCAAGAGTGAAGTGATCCCCATCTGTAGTACTGTCACCCCGTCTGGTCCCCGAGATATGCTAGGAAAATGGTGGAAAATGTTCAAAGGAGGGCCACCAGACTGGTGCCTGCACTTCCACCTCAACTTCCCTGAGAGATTGGAGCGCCTGAACTTGCCTAGCTAATACTACAGATGGGCAAGGGGCGACCTAATTGAGGTATATAAGCATCTTAAGGGGCACTACTCAGTCGAGTGTCCTTACTTGGAGCTGACGGACGCTCGCCCCACAAGGGGTCACAGCTCAAGATTGAAGTATCAGGTCCAGAAAACTGTGAGAGCAAACGTTTTCGAAGTGAGAGTTGTGAAATTTGGAACACTCTACCAGAAAGTGTTGTGACGACACCGAGTGTGAGCTCTTTCAATACCAGACTTGACCAACACTGGAGCAGGTTCAGGTACATTCAGGATCCGGTGCAGGCCCAGTACTTGCCAACAGTGCGTAACAGAGAAGTGACCGATCGTCCAAGCGGCTAACAAGCCGATCAGTGGTGAAAAGGATAAAAGTAAAAGTAAAAGTGTAACAAGAGTAAACGTTTCGTGCCACTGACAACGTTTGGAGGGCTCAAGCATGCCAACTTCCCAGTCTTCTGCCAGTTGGTACACCTGACTACACTACAATGATGTAGTAACAATAAACGACGGTCGGGAACCACCATGGTCATTCTTGAAAAATCACATAATTTTTCTTCCATTGTATTACGACCGCCGGGATACCACAGCGTGGTGTACACCACGGCAGTTCTTGCATTTGGCCCTACAGACAAGAAAGAGACATGACGTGCCACACTCGCTACCAATACGGCCACATGACAGGCCACACCAGACAAAGCTGTAACCTTTCTCCATCCATCAAACCCTATAATCACATTTGCCACCACACTTCAGTTAAGTAAAATCAGTATTATAAGCGCACAGTTAACAATTGGTTTTCCAATTGTATGACGCCAGGTCAATACACACATAAGCCAAGGTATATATAATTCAAGACCCAACGCAATGATTACGCTATATTAAAACTATCACAAACCAGCCGGCTTTGTCCTGACTTGCCTTGGGTCAGGATAGGACATATTCTTCCAGCATAAAACACCACCAGGACTCCTTGGTAAAAACAGTGCAAGTGAAAGTAACCTCACAAAAATAAAAATTGGAATTCAATTGTAGAGGTTTTGGAAGAGGGGTCGTTAATGGACCCTATAGCAGTATCAAGGTGTTGCAGAAACTATTGAGTGAACGGTGTGGGTAGCCACTCACCTGGCGGCATTCCGTCAGGCTTCTTGAAGACCCTCCACAGCAGAAAGAGCAGCCCTACCAACAACAGCAGTTCTGCCAACATCCTGCTGTCTCTGTTGTCTTACTGTTTCTGTCGGAGAAGGACAAAGTCATTAAAGCATACTTGATCAAATGAAACATGTGATATACGGAATAATAACAACCATATACGCAGAGCAACTGGATCTTGCCTCATGTCTTTTCGGGTTTTTCTTTATTTTGCTGAAGTATTAGTTTGTGTAATTAAATAAATGGGTAAAAACTCCAATGAAGCAATCAGGTTCCTGTCCTATGAAATACATTGCTTCCTTTTCTTCTTGTAAGCAAATTGTTACAGGTTTTATTCCCATACATGAGTACACTATCAGATGTACTAGTCAATGGTGAAAAAGAATCCCGCAGTGAACGAGTATCCTGCCAGGTATAGTTTGCTCCACTCCCGCGTTTACCACTTAGCGTTGCGAATCATCTCTTTCCCCGAGTTGTGAATCCCGAACTCTGAAGTGTGAACTCGAAGCATTCGCTAGCGAGCGGGAGGGAGAGTGTAAGGGTGTGTATGCGATCGTTGGTGTCTTTCTGTGGGGGCGTGGCAGGGGGAGTGTACAGTATATCAGAGAGAATACAATGCAGAATAATGCTTTCACAATACCGACGAGGTTTCTACAGCTGAGCACAGTCGTCTAGAGCTAGCCAGATGAAAATACTAAAGTTACAATAGGATCAGAGGGGTATGAATTCATGATCTGAGTAAGGTGTTCCTTTGCAAAAGGGGGCATTTATGAGCAAATGGATTATGGACAAGTTAGCATCTATAGCTTGGCTACGAAATGGAAGTACCCAAGATGAATTCAATCGTCTGGCGATAGCCAGAATAAAGTAGATAAGAAGACATCGACATCGTACTAAAGGAATTCATTAGCAATCAAAACAATATTTATTGTAATACAAACCTGATGTGAACAAAAGGAGTTGAGTTGGAAGCTGCCCGGTATAGAATAAACCAGCCACATAGTTCAGTTGTGTAAAACAGTGAGGTTAAAGGGTTAAAAAATTATTATAATTACATCTGCAGTGAGTAGCAAAGGTCCCACAATATTCATTGCTACTGTCCATTCGTGTGCCTGTATGGTATAACTGCAGTGGGGAACGCGTGTGTAGCTTTAGTCCCTTCTTGACACAGCAAACATCGCATGAACGGCACCATTCCCCCGCATCCATACACATGTCAACCCAGTAAAACCTGTCTGCCACTACCTGTTGAGGCCATCTGTAGTTACCCACTGACGCTGCAGCACACCATCCTTCAGCCGACGAGCATCCCACTGAGCTCAGTAGTTTTTAGCCGTAGGACTTGATCCAGAGATCGTCTCCATGCTGGCCGCACTGAGGTCTGGCTCATCCAGTCGACCACTGGTCTTCCAGTTGTAACTTCTCAAGGCCTTCCCAGCAACGGCAGGATCCTCCTCCACTGTAGTGCGACTACAGTTCTTGGGAAGTGCCTCTCTACAGCAACACGGCTGATTCACCAGTCTGCATTAATTTTGATGTTTTCAAACTAATATGCGTTCCCTAACCTGTTTTTAATGTTGATTTCAGATATGACTTCAGTTTCCGTCTATCACGCAAGGCTGTAGTGTTAAATCTCTTTGTTTTGCTCTACTAAGATACTACTGTATTTCTGTCTTAAATATGTCTTCTCGTGGATGTTTGAACAATCCAAACGTATTCTGCTACATATGTGGGTGCTTTGTTCTGCAAAAGCAACGACAAGAAATAACCGCCTTCGTGAAAAATGCATATTTTGCCTACTTTGGAGTGAAATTAGGTGATTAATATAAACCATGGGCGCCACATAAAGTATGTCGCACTTGTGTTGAAGGTTTAAGACTGTGGAAATATGATAAGAAAAATGTCTATGCCATTTGGAGTCCCTATGGTATGGTGGGAGCCTAAAAATCATGGCGATGACTGTTATTTTTTCTGTTTGAAGATAGAGGGATATAATGCAAAAAATAAACAAGGAATCGTTTATCCCAACATTCCATCTGCCATGAGACCAGTGCCACATGGTCCTGAGGTTGCAGTCCCTATTCCGACAGATGTGTTGCAGTCCGTGTCATCAGAATCTGACCGTGATTCTTCGTCAGATAACGTAAGTGATGCTTATCAAGCTGAAGATATTAGTGATAAACCGGAGGTGTTTACCCAGAGTGAAATTAACGATCTGGTTAGGGATTTGAATTTACCAAAGGAATCTACTGAACTCTTAGGATCTAGGTTGAAATCAAAGAAGTTATTGAGCAAAGGGGCACATTTTTCATGGTATAGGCAACGTGAACAAGAACTAATTAATTTTTTCAGAGGAAGGCTCTTTGGTTTGTTGTAATAATGTGTCTGCTTTAATTAACTATTTTGTCATTACCTCTACAGCTACTGAATGGAGGTTGTTCATTGATTCTTCAAAAACAAGTCTCAAAGGAGTTTTACTTCACAATGTAAATGGATTTCCATCAATTCCTGTGACTCACTCTGTTCACCTTAAGGAAACTTACGAAAATTTGCAGATACTTCTAGAGAAAGTTCATTATAAAGATCATGGTTTGTTGGTTTGTGGAGATTTCATAGTCATTGCTTTGTTGTTTGGTCAACAGAGTGGATACACGAAAATGCTATGTTTTTTTTTGTGTCAGTGGGACAGCTGGGCAAGACGTGAACATTGTGACCAAAAACACTGGCCACCTAGACAGGCTCTTGTGCCAGGTTAAAAAAATATTCTACATTAACCATTGATTGACCCTAAGAAAGTGCTGTTGCCTCCTCTGCATATCAAATTAGGGTTAAAGAAACAATTTGTAAAAGTCCTAGATAAGGAAAGTGATTGTTTCCGGTACATATGCAGGGAATTTCCATCAGTCACACATGAAAAAATCAAAGCTGGCATTATCGTGGGCCCTCAAATCCGAAAGTTAATGTTGGACCACCAAGTTGAAGAATCGATGAACCGGTGTGAGAAAGAAGCATGGAATAGTTTCAAGAATGTTGTGTATAGTTTTTTAGGCAGTAGAAAATATCTAAACTATCAAAACATTGTTGAAGGTACGGTGAATAACTTTATAAACAGGGGTTGCAATATGAGTGTAAAAGTGAATAGCCCAACTTTGAATGTAAATGGAAGTGTTTATTGTATTCCATGTAGCAAATGTAAGGGAAATTATGTAGGACAGACAGGGAAAGCACTGCAGCTCAAAATCAAACAACATAAGTACAATATGAGAACAGCATCTGAAAGCAGTGCACTGTTCGTTCATGTAAGGAATAATAATCATCCCATTGATTGGGAAAAAAGCTTAGAAGTATACAAATCATCTTGCGTCACAGAAAGACTTCTGGTTGAAGCTAGTTTGATTAGGGAATTAAAATCAATAAATCTTAGCGATGGTCAGTAAAAAACTGATAATATGTTACTTAAATTTATTTGTCAGTGGCCCAAGGTTAAAAATGCTTTGAAAACCTTGGAGATAGATGTAGCATAGATATTTAGTGGGTCCCTTATTTTTGCCTTGACTTGACTAGTCACGTTGCCCCTTTCTCTTAAGCTCCTCTACATGTGTCTTGGTGTGGGGATTAGTGGATGACATAATTATGACCTGACCTCTTGTTTAATAAGGTCACCCTGTATATTTAAGCCTCTCTCTGTCCATGTTATTCAGTTGCCTCTGAAGATGTCTTGAATAAAGACGAAAGCTAAGGTGCTCCATTGTTTCCCTTTTCCCCGTGTGATTTTATCAAGATTTATCTTATCCACGTTTTCATTGTGGAGCTACATATATATATATATATATATATATATATATATATATATATATATATATATATATATATATATATATATATATATATATATATATATATATATATATTTATATATATATATATATATTATATATATATATATATATATATATATATATATATATATATATATATATATATATATATATATATATATATATATATATAATATATATATATATATATATATATATATATATATATATATATATATATATGTATAATAGGCCTCGGTAGGACGCCACCTTCCGGGAGGCTCCACATTGTCTCACTTTAGTGCATTTAGGTAGACCACATTTTTGGTTTTGCCATTAGCAGCAAGAATGTACAGATTTTTGCCAGTTCCCACTCTGGAGCATCCAACATAGAACTGTCCACGAGAGAAGCAAGGAAACACCAGGTTTAGGCCAACCATCTTTAGGGACTGTCCCTGGCTTTTGTAGATGGTCATGGCAAAGCTTACTTTAACCGGGAACTGAAGTCGCTTGAACTCAAATGGCAGGTCAGTGGTGATGAGAGGTATCCTTGGTATAAAAACGTCCTCTCCTTTAGCTTTTGCTGTCAGTATTGTAGCTTCCAGTACATGTGGCATCATGTTCTTTACCACCAGTCTTGTGCCGTTGCAGAGGAATGGTGGTTCAAGATTTCTTAAGAGCATTATAGGAGTTCCAATCTTGGGAGTGAGGTGGTGAGGAGGCATTCCAGCGGGCTCCAAGGAATTAAGGAGTTCTCCAGGGTACTGGACTGCTTGGTCCTGGTCGATTACTGTATCAACAGATTTAAATGAGGTCTCACTGCCTGGAAGCTGTCTGAGTAGAGTCATGTTTATTTAAGCCACCGTTTCATTCTTTGGTGCCATAATTGCGCGCTCACGCAGCCACTTGTGATCCTTGTAGTGGTGGATAATGTTTGGGTAGACCAATGCTTCAAACGCTAACTTGTGAGACATAATGCATTCATCCCAGACTATGAGGCTGCATTTTTCTAAGAGTTTTGCCTTTGCCGATCCTTTTTTGATGTTGCACACTGGATTCTCATTGTGAGCGAGGTTGAGAGTCAGTTTAAAAGTTGAGTGTGCAGTGCGTCCTCCTTCTAGTAGTGTTGCAGCAATGCCTGAGGATGCCACAGCAAGAGCAATTTTCCCCTGATGACGTACTTTGGCCATCAGAAGGTTGATCAGGAATATTTTTCCTGTCCTGCCAGGTGCATCGAGAAAGATCATACCTCCCTGCTCTGCTT